AATAGCACCATTCGATTCGCCGTGAAAAACTGCATCAGATAGACACCTTTTTAGGCCTTAACAACCAACTTCAAAATTTGACCTTACTTGACCTGACCTTGACCTGACCTCGACCTGAAATTCATCCAGAGGTGGTCCATATCACTTATTGAGTTTGCCTATTGAATTCTATGAGTAAAATGACCTATAAAACATGTGTCGCACATGCCCTTTTCTATATTTTGTTTTTGGTGACCTGACCTGACCTGACCTGACCTTGACCTTGACCTCTGAATGATATTGCATGCAACGAACATTGTCTTGGTAGCCTAAAAACACGTTTTGGGCAATCAGTCTCAGTCCATGACTCCATTCTTCGGCAACTACGGTGCAGGGCCGATACTGTAGAAACTTGCAATTTGTACCCTTGGGCCTTGACCTGACCTTGACCTTGACCTCAAACTTAAAATTAAGTACATGTTTTTAGTTGTTGGTGATGAGATCTTTCGATTGGCGTTCGAATTTTCCAAATCGGACCATTAGTTCGGGAGATAACACGGGGGTAAAATTTACCCCCCCCCCCCCAGCCCCGCGCGTTCGGCTGGAGACCCCAGCCCCGCGCGGGTTAAGTCGGTCATTTGTTTACGATTTCAGCCTCTGATGAATGCTTTACTGTTCGTCAGAGTTCAAATTTAACGGCTTATTTCCGTTTTCTAAGAATCTTGCTCCCGGTACGGCAAAAAGGGAGCCATTCCTTATTTATATGCGCTTCTGCTCCTCTGTTCGTGCAAGGTAGAGTTAAAACGTTGAAATCAAATATTTTCAGAGAATAATCGAGCGAAATGGACAGTGGATGCCCTCGAATGACCTGAGCATTGATCTTATCTTAGCAATTTATTACCAACGCATTACTTTTTTGCGAACCACATCGGTTTCCAATGGGCCCCGCTGGCTTGTGAGCGTCAGGTGCCGAGCTCTGATGGCCAAAGCCAGCTTCTGGACCCACGTCGGCCTCTGGTAGCCCACACCGCCCACACTAGTCTTTCCCGTCCCCAGAGACAGACCACCAGGCTGAGCTTACAATCACCCAAAATGGGAGCCTGCTTCAATACGATTTGTTGAAACTCGGTCATGAGTGGTTTAACCCGGCAGGCGGTGGGCCTACCAGCCACCTTCCGCGCGGTGGGGGGGGGGGGGCATTTTTTGCCCCCCCCCCCGTATCTCCAAAACTACTGGACGGATCCGCAAAATTCAAACGGCGTTCGATAGCCCTGTCAAATTTGTTGAATGAAACCAAATTTCATTGACCTCGGAGTCACCGATGACGTCACAGGTCAGGTCAAAGATAAAATGTTTCACCGTTCACGGGGCTGCTAGGGAAAGCGCTATAACACCGAGTAAAACGCATTTTGTCGAAAATCAGCGATAAGGCGTCAGTTGCCTAGTACATATGTTGCTATTAGAGGTCACTGGTCATACCAGGTCAGGTCACAGGTCAGGTCACCAAAGGTCACCAAGGGTCACCACATGAGCCCAACTTTACTAAGGTTATGCGATGCATGTTTATGGCCAGTTTTTCATTTCCAGCTCAATGGTGTTGGTTATAAGACCATCAGGTACGGTTTAGGTCATTTTCTGGTGGAGGTCAGGTCAAGGTCAGGTCAAAAAAGGTCAAATTTCAAAGTTGATATTTTTGCATAAAATGGGTATCGATTCGATGCAGCTCGTCACGGGGAGTCTAATGGTGGTCTTTTTTTGCGCTCAAATTTGGTATGTAGATAGAAGGCGGTAGGGACTATCACATATATTCCGTTTTTTTGGAAATTCAAAAAAACAATTGATTTTTGGCTATTATATTCAAAAAATCTATTTTTTATTTTTGGGGGTCAAAATCCAAAAAATTCGAAAAACCGAAATAACAGTTTTGTAGCACTTTTGATTCCACACCTTTTATGTCTGAAACATTTTTCTGTATCTCTAAAGCTGTAGGCCTCACAGCTCTTCCCGCGAAACCTTTTTTGGGTCGAAAATGGCAAAAATGACGTCACTCTGACGTCATTAGCGGCCAACCTATCATAGCCTTTGGAAAAAATTTTGGTCACCATGTGCGCTAGCTGCTCCCGGGAGGGTACTGAAAGTTTGGTGACGATCGGCGCAGCAGTTCTCGAGGTATTTTGAAAAAACTAAAGGGGGGGCAAAAAATGCCCCCCCCCCCACCGCCTGGAAGGTTAAAGTAATATTTGTATCTTGCTGTGATCAGTGATTCGCTCGGCCGCCGGCTGAGCTCCTCGGCCGACGCGCGGCCGCTGTATTGCGGCACAGCATCACTCGCTGGAGCGGGGCTGTGCGGCGCGGACTCGTGCGGTGATTGGTCGGCTGCTGACCACGTGATTGTGAGGCGAGGTCGGGTGAGGGCGCGCCGGCGGAGGGCAGTCGGGCAATGTCTGTTGTCGCGGCTGGTGCGTTGGGACCTCGAATGTTATATGCGTTTGCTGGGGACGTCGGCAGACTCGTCTGAGAGGCTTGCTGTCGGCTTACTCGGCGACGCATATACATTCGAGGGTCTAAATCTGGGACTAGTCTGTCCGGCTCGTTCCACATACGCTTTTTTGGACCCAACCACTGCACTGATAGCACAGCGCCGTGAATATGTTAGCCTTACTAGTCTGAGCGGCCTGTTCGGTGATCATATTCACGGAGCTGTTCGTATCATTTGAGCGTGCCTTGCAAGGTCGCTATTTCATACGGCAACGCGCCTATTCAGGGAGGATATTTACGGGTTGGGGAGCCATGAACGAGGCTCTCATTTCATCGAGTAGGCTTATCTTGGTGCAGAGTTTGTACTGGGCCGAGTCGGAGCCCTGCCCTGTCATGGTTGTTCATTTTGCTGACGATCAAAAATACATCCGATCAAAAAATACATCTGGTGTATTTATACGTTCTTTAACTTGGAATCGCAACACGATTAGGAGCTACTCTTGCTGCACACCGGTGACCGTCCAGCCAGAAGTTCGACGTCGCGTAGTGAGAACGACGATAGGTGGAAACAACAGATACACGCCCCGAGGACAGAAAAAAAAAAACAGATTGATATTAAAGGAGAATATGTGGGACACCGAGTTAGGTCGCCTGAAAACCCGAAATATAACGTATTGTTTAGCGGAAAAAACAATGGTATCAGGTAAACAAAATAAACACGTAAATCAGTCAGAGGTAATCGTGTATATCAATATGTGCTCACATTGCATCCATGTTTCGTTTACGCATTTGTTTTTATGTGTCTCACAGTAAAAATTTGCTTGCCTTTTCGCTTTTGCCGGCCCCCCAGTAGTGACATTTTTACCCTGACTGGGGGGGGGGGGCAGGCCGGTGACTGCGGAGGTTTGCCTCCCCCCCCCCCCCCCATTTAAGATGTTAGACGAGGCCCTGCCTTAAAGGGACTATCCCACCTTTAACATGGGGTTTGAGTTGAGATAGCCAAGTTTGCGGCGAGGTTCAGAAACCACTATCTATCTAGGTTGCAACCCCCCCCCCCCCGGCCTCTTGGTGTTGAAGAAATTCGTTCCCTTCATTGGAAAATGGGCCTTGTACAAGGCCCTATCTTCAACATGGAGCGACCGTTAGTGTGACGTCACCTCGTTTAGTCATTCTGATTTAAATGGGTTTGTTCATTGAAAATCGCTTAAAACTTGGTCTGAACTTTGTTGTGGTGCCTACAGAGTAAAAAGAATCAGCTTCATGACAGTAATGTGGCCTGGGGAAGGAGGTAATATTGGGCTGTGACGTCACATATTTGAAAGTTTGTGTTTGGAATATGGGAAGCCTAAGATGTTTAATGAAAAATAAATGCCAGAACCGTGTTCCTGGTCATCCAATCTATAGTCGGGCACAATTTAACTGGTTTTAACAACATTTTAGAAGGTGGGATAGTCCCTTTAACCCTAGAACGCCTAGGGGGGGGGGGTTGTATCAACCCCCCCTGAGGTTTTTTCGAAGTGCACGCTAAACGGCTTGTCGTAGCGGGCTGAAATTTTCAATACCCTCTGGGGCAACCTTTGCGCATCTTTTGCCGAAAAAAAATTGATCGGGTCATGTCAGGTCACGGAGTTATGACGTCATCAGAGGTACAGCCTCCGGCCGACAGTTACCAAACGTGTGCGCCGAATCCCTAGGTTTTCTGCCGGTGATACCCACATTGTTTGATGGATCATGATGAAACTTCCCATGCATGTTGGGGCAAGCATTGGCTATCGTGTGGTGCAAAAAAATTGACCGGGTCAGGTCAGGTCACGGAGCTATGACGTCACAAGAGGAACAGCGTCCGGTACTATTTTTGAAAAGCGCCCGAACCACTATTTTGCTAATTCTTGTCACCTCATTGGGAATATGCAGCAATATTAGCTTCTATAGGGAGCAAATGGACCTCCCAAATCCAAAAATACAATCAGATTTCAAAAATTTAAATTTTGATTTTTCGAATTTCTGCCGCCGACTGTAACCTTGCCGACTTCCGGCGCTCCCAACGCGCCATTTTTTAGAGCTAGGGAAACGAAATACATACCAAACGATAGAGAATTGATCAAGGAACACGATAGTGAAGGTTTCAAGTCGATATCTCCCACCGTTTTGCCGCAATCGCCGCGGAAAGTTGAAAAAGTTTGATTTTTTTCGGAAAATTTGACCTTTGACCGGTCATAAGTAGGTCAAATGTTGACCTAGGACCAAAAAATATACCACCAATCGCGAGATCTTGTTGAGAGCAATCCGTTGGTTTTTTCCGCTAAGCTCTACGACCTTCCGTTTCGAAACGCCAGGGGGGGGGGGTTGTAACAACCCCCCCCCCCTGGTCGTTCGTGTTATGAGAAATGGCCTGGTCGTGCGAGGGTTAAGTTGTGTATCTTGATGACATTTTTCCAAAACTGTTTCCATTTCTCTGCTCCGACAATTGGTTCCCGAGATGCGACGGGGGAAACTTTGGCCCCATCCCCAATGGGGCCAAAGGGTATAATAAATAATACTAATTACCTACAACTGCATTTATTGACAGCCAGCAAGTTGACATCACACACGGTTGGTATATTCTCAATGACATAGCAGTAACAGGCGGTTCTCTTTTCCGTATCAGAAAGCCCACACAGCAGACCCGCCACACAGGCTCAGTTCCGCTACCGGATGCCCTCGGCCGGTCCAGCCGTTTCCAGGGGACACAGGTGCCGCAGCAGCTGGCTCCGATACTGCTCCTGCACCGCCCCGCCGTAGTGCAGTCGGTCGTAGCAGTTGCGCAGCGGGGAGCTGAAGGGGTTCGAGTTCCACGACGGGTCCAGGCGGCAACGCGCGATGTAGTTCTCAGTAGGTGGCAGCACCGACGACCAGCGGCGCACAGAGGGCGCCACCTGCCCGCTGACCGGCGGGAAGGTCAAAGGGACGTTACTCGTGGCCTGATGATTGGGCAGCAGGCATGCAGTCATATGCGTCGGCACTAAAGAGTACATGCGTTATATGACGGAGGCGGGATGACGGGTATATAGGATAGGAGGAAATATATTTGGACTGGTCTCGATGACCCTCGTAAATCATCGGGAGACGGACGGGTACCTAGGTATAATGGAAAGGTACAAACTGACCTGATTACCTACATATTCATACCCATTTTCAAATCCTAGATTTCCTAACGTTCCATGAATCCTGAAGGCCGGCACCGCATCAAAATTATGCGCAGTTTCAAAAAGTATGTTCAGCAGGTGAAGCTATAGTGGGCATTTACCTACCTTTTCTTGATGTATGTAAGGTCACTTAACCCGTGAGTTGCGGGGGGGGCGTTAAACGCCCCCACTTTTTTCGCCGTGCCAAAAACGAAATGAATTGATGGAAGTTTATTGTGACAAAGTTTTAAAAAAATCGGTCGGAAATTTTTTGAGATGTCGAGGTTTTAATGACGTCATGATTTCTGAGTTTTCGACCAAAAACGGCATATGTTCAACAAATCATATAAAATCACAGAACAGACATACAGACATGCCGTAAACGCCACTAGACTGCCAATACCATGAATAATCAAATGGCTATCTTCGATTATTGATTATCGTTGGGCATTTTCCAAAATCTTGAACTGAATCTTGGCAATTTTCGTGACTACTTCACGACCATGATACATGCATTTCTTTAATTGAACTTTTTGAGCCAAACACGTACACATATGATAAAATGAATGTCACCATCGTGTTCTAGCCCCGAATTACCCATAAAACATGTGTCACAGGCTGCGAATATCAGTTTTGATTTTCGGGGATATCATATGTGCCTACCCGGTTGACCTGACCTTGGCCCTGGGCCTGACCTATGCTTGGCTGACCCCTACATGGAGCTGACACTCTTGTAGGCCTTATATGATGGATTGTGCACCATTTTGACAGAGTTTATGACGAGAGGCACCGATTGCGAGGTTCTAAAGTCCATGCTACTGAAAGCCCGATTTCAAGTGTTTGACCTGACCTTGACCCGACCTGTGACCTCGAAATTCAACTTTTAAGTATTCATGTAAATCGTCTCGTCGCGTTCTTCTTTCGTTTGCCGCCTCGTGCGTTTCGCTGCGTCTATTGGTTCTCGAGTTATCGGCTGGGGGCGTTTAACGCCCCCCCCCCCCCCCCCAGCAAACGGTGGGTGGCGATATACCCCAGCAACTGCCGGGTTAACGACCTGGTCACTGACCTGGTCCTGGTGGCCTGACTTTTTGAATGAGCTCTATCTACTCTATCAAGCTGAATCACTGTGACACATACAACAAACCAATTAGGTACTCTGCATAGTGAAGTGGGATCTTTTGCAGTCGATCTAGTGCAATCTGTTTCACTTACAGTCGATCCACAACCATCGCGTTGTAGATGACGTGGGCATAGTTGAGTGACTTGTCTGTCATCTGACCCAGCATCTCGAAATTCTCCGGCTCACTCAGCTTCCAGAGGACTTGCACGCCGCAATCGGAAAGTCTTTCTAGAGCGCAAGCAGCCTGAGGAGAACGAATTCAGTCAGAACCAATTCATACAAAGTCACAGACAGATCAGAACAAGGAGCAGCTAATAACCGACGCCCGGCCTAGTACGGCTGCTGCTGCAGTGCTGAGCCGTGGGAGCCCGGTGGATGGGGAGTGGTGCAACATCAATCTGCCCCGAGTGTACCTACTAGAGATGTCAATCGGATACCAACTTCTTGGTATACCGATACCAAACCGATACCAACTTGGTATTTGGTATTTCAATTGTAATGTGTTTGGTATTTTGTTGGTATCATGAACCCTCAATAATGTATAAAAGGCTAGGAAATCGGTAAAAAGTTGGTATTTCCCTCATTTTTTCCAAGTTAGTTTGGTTTCGGTATTTCCCCATGGTTTTGGTTGGTATTTGGTTTGGTATCGGTATTCAGATTTTCCGTAATTGACATCACTAGTACCTACACATACCGCGAAAATTGTTGAGCACCGAAAGGAGTCAATCAGATGACCTTTCAAACGACTGCAAATTTGTTGGGCGAAATTCAACTCACCGTCTCGCTCACGAAACCTAGTCTTAACTAACAACCATTTTAAGGCCGGAGAAGATCCTCAGTGTCCAGCTCGCCATTTTGAGGCTGATACGGCGTCAGTGCCCGGCTCACCATTTTTAGGTCGAGGACAGTGCCCGGCTCACCATTTTGAGGCCGAGGACAGTGCCCGGCTCACCATTGCGAGGCCGAGGACAGTCTCAGTGCCCAGTTTATCTTTTCGAGGCCGGGGACAGTGTTCAGCGCACTATTTCGAGGCCAGACACAGTACCCGGCTCACCGTTTCCAGCCCGGGGACGGCGTGCAGCAGCCGGCGGCTGTGGGTCGACTCGGGCACTCGCAGCTGGTGGGTGCCCATGGAGAGGAGTACCAGGTGAGCGCACGAGGCGGCGCCGGACCGGCACTCGGCCCGCAGAGATTCCAGGATCTTTAGCAGACCGGCGTCCGCCAGCCGGTTCCAGAAGAACCTCTGCAGGCGGCCGCGGGTCACAAGTCACATAAACGCAAGGTCCCATCGTGAGTTATTTTTGTGTTCATCATAGTATGTAACGTACTATGCTCTCAATGAACGGTGATCACTGTCGTCTGAATTTCTCCATTTTTTTCCTTTGACAATATCTATGCTCTCTCATGTTGGATATTTTCAAATAATGCCCAAATATATGCATCATCTGAGGGCATAAGTACCTAGCCACTAGCCAGTATGCATAGGTACTTATGTACGATATAAATAATACCCTTCCGATTATAAAGGCATAGAAAATTGTCGTCGAGTGCATGCGATACGGCCACGGAATAGATGATTTTTCTGGTCGCCCTCGCCAGTTCGTCACTCACCAGGTCCACGTGCGGCGAGCTGGAGCGGTAGTGACACCAGTCGGTGCGATTTTTGTACACAAAGTGCTGTAGACACTCGGAGCCGTTGCTGGTGTGCGCGGCGAGGTCCCAGCTGGTGCGGAGGTGGTGGTACAGACCCCGCGGCCGAGAGTCGCCGATGAGGACAATGTGCAGCCGCCTGCCGAGCTGTTGCTCCAGCCGGCGCCAGCAGGAGACCGTCTCGGCGCCAGAGACGCGGAACGGCACGTCACCAGACGTGACGTTGGCTGGGGCCGTGTGCAGGTGATGTGGTGAGGACGCCAGGCTGACGATGTTGAGAGGGTCTGATTCAAACGGGACGCCCCGATCTGAGAGAAATAAGGAAAATCGACACAAAGAATCAGCTTCTTAGAAAGCGTAGGGCAATTGAAGTGCGTGCGGATCCATCAGACATCACATTGTAATTCGATTACGAAGTCACTCAACATTTACCGATTTATAAGAACAAATGGAACAAATGGTCTTTAATTAAATGTCCACGATTGATTAAGTCCCAACTATCAGTAGTCAGTACCTAGGTACCTCAGAACTCAGTGGCGGATCCAGGGGGGGGGGGCAAAATGGGCATTTGCCCCCCCCCCCCAAACGGCATGATTTTAACATTACGCCTATGGACGATGCATGGAAAGAATCGATAAATTTTTATGGTTTGCCCCCCCAAACCTCTGAGCTGGATCCGCCTCTGTCAGAACTCAGAGTCAGAAGGCATGATTCGTGAAGTGTCCTTTATTTTGTATGCAGTGTTTGGCGAGCGAGTGAGCTTACTGTCTTTATCGAAGAAGCTCTGACATCTTGAGCGACGAATTAGACCACTTACAAACGATCCTGATAATGACGCACCTGACAGTCCGATATTGACGTCATCCGCTGTTCGCAGACGGCCAGGACTGGACCTGCCGCACGGCAGCTCCCCGCATAGCCTGCCGGTGACCAGGACCAGGGCCAGCGCCGCCACCAGTCGGGCCAGCAGCCTCAGGTGCCAGCGGCCAGTCCGTCGGCACAGGCGGCGGCGGCTCCTGTCCATCACGGTCAGGGGCGGATACACCCTCTGTCCAGCGCAGTGCGGACCGGCGAGAGCTCCTGCCTCCTGTCCATCACATTTTAGACCAATGTCCATCACAGTCCGCACCGGCGAGATTTGTCCCTCACATTTCAGACCGGCGAGATTTGTCCATTACACACTGAAAACAATTTCACCCGAAGCTGGCGAATTAAGCGTTGCTCTGCGGGTGGTATATGTGTATTAACTCGCTATGTCCAGATTCTAGCTAGAGGGTAAGCAGACTTGCCTGCCTTATTACTCGTAAATATGCACTGCACCCACAGTCTGCAGTAAGGTAGCTACCCAGCACCGGATATTATCCCCGCGTGTGTCGAGTCATTGACACAGCCCTCACTGAAAGAGTTGGAACTACTCGAGGTATCGTAAACGCGTATCCGTGGATGGCGAACCTTTACATAACCTGCCCTGAAGGAGTTGGATCTACTGTTACAACTAGATGGCGTTGTCTCATACAGTTTTGAATTACAACAATTTTTTAACATTTTTTGAACCAATGATATATTGGCACATTGTTTGACGGTTTCCAAGTGGGGGCGAAAGTACAATTGTTAGGGTGCACGTTTAAAACCTCTGCAATATTCATCACGGGACGATTGGCAACGCTTTTTCTTCCGAAACTACCTAGTGAAACCATTTAGATTCTTATATAGGTCACGAAATCAGTGGCGAAACATCTTCTTGAATTCGGGCGGTCCGCATGACTGCCGGTGACTGAGTCATGTCGAAATTTCTATGGGAATTCGATTTGACCTTTCCCACCGATGTGTAACTTTCTCACCGATGTTTTCTAGGTGTGAGATTGCTATAATATAGATATTTTCCCGCAAATATGGTCAAGCGTGGGAGTTTTTTTGGCCCTCGTGACTTGGTCGGCGAAGGGTAGGCGTGGAGGGTAACCCCATCTCCTAGGCGTTTGTGGGGCGCTGCTGCCAGGTAGGCGTCGATGAATACCTTTCGATGGAGGGGTCGCGAGCCACTGGTGCGCGAATAGTCGTGGAGGGTTACTACTCTCCAGAGTGAATTGCAAAAGTGTTATGTCCTAAATTGACTCCTGGGAGGGTGGTTAAAAATGGTTGCGGATAGGGGTACCCGCGAGACACCGGTTTACTCGCCAGTTTTGGGTGAAATTGTTTTCAGTGCAGTCCGCACCGGCGAGATGTGTTCATCACATTTCATACCGGCGAGGTGTGTCCATTACAATCCGGACCGGCGTTACTCGTTCACCACAATTCAGACTGGCGAGACCTCCTAATTCATCACGATCGGAACCCACCATTACTGTCCCGAGTCCATCACGGTTCGCGTCAAACCACCCGCCCCGCGGCCCCGTGCCGGGTCGGCTGGGCGGGGGATGACGGCGCCTGCCGCTCGGCACTACTGGTGCGCTGGGCTCATAGGTCTGCTCGTCGGACCGCGCGACTCAGATGACGGTTGATAACCTGCCGAGCGGAACAGAAGTGAACGATTAGTGGCACGTGTCTGCAACACACTTGCATTCACATGTACACGCCCAAAATGCATATGTTCCACATACTTACGTGCTACAAAAAAATGATATATGTTTTGCATACATAAAATCAACATAACATGCAACTATCCCTACATGAATAATGGATTTATTTGCTGAGTTCACGCTGTGACGGTGGTGGTATACGTATACGGCTTTGGGTTTGATAATAACATTCGAATAATAATGTCACTGAAAACGTCCGACAACAGCCAACAGCACAAGTCATGAAAGGTAATTTATCCATATTTCAGTATATTTGGCACACCATCCAACTAATTATTCGTGCATTGCCACATATAAGTCGTGGAGCTGCAACATCTAGGTACGCATTATATACGCATATGAAAAAAGGCACTAAGAGCCATGTCCGTTCAAACCACGTCCGTTTGAGTGCCGTTTGATTTAACCTCAGACGAGCAATGTGGTCTGCACCAAAAGGCTTTAAAGGAAAAGGGCCACCTTTAACATGGGGATTGAAACTGAGATAGCCATCTTGTAGCCCGTGTCCGAAAACCTGCCTATCTACCTCCTTACGGCCGATTTCGGCCTCCATTCGTAGTTATCGGCAATTTTAAAAGAAAATACGCCAGGAATGCGTCCTTATCCCAGGAATGCGTTCTTATCCGACAATACAGCCACCCGCGGCGAGGCTTTGGTTTTTACCAATCAGCTCCAACCAGCTCAGCTTTAACCAATCAGCTTATCTGACACAATCCGACGAGTCTGTCTTCTGAACGCTGATTGGCTTGAGTGTGACGTCATCGCTATGCCATCATACAGTAGGGGAAGTTGGGGCAATGCCGGAGTTGGGGCAAAGCCGAAATTCGAGATATTTCTAAAACCGTACGACATGGATGCCACGTCTCAGTGATGCTCTGAAGCGTGACTACAATTATCGCATGTTTGTTACGAGTTGTCATTTGGAATACTTCGGCTGTGAGCGCGCCAAAAGCGTTTTCAAGGTACGTTTCCCTTGTACTACATGCGCCTTTGAAGCTGCATTTCTTACTCATTATGCTACCGTTTGTCTAGCCAATTCGGTCAAGTAATCTTCAGCATGTCTTTGCATAAGTGTACTGCCTATTTGAAATTCATACAGCACGTTTAAAAGTTATGGGCCTGCAAATGAAAGTATGGCTGGCTGGGGTAATGCCGACCTAAAGGTCATATGAGGTCAGGTCATTTTCGTGACCTCACCATTATAAGTCAATGGGGAAAAATTCAAACTGCTATTCTGGCGCCGGGAACGATCTCCAACTATCTCAAGCACACAGAATCGTGATTTGATGCACTCCTTGCAAGGTTAGATGCGTCACTTTTGCAATGTTGACCTTGCGTGACGTCATTTATGACGTCATCAAGGTCAAATTAGTTTTTCGTCAATAACTCTTGATCAAATTGAGCTAGCGAGTCGGGAAAGGCACCAATGGACTCAGGAAGGCCTGCCGAATCGAATGATATGCGACATGACCTCTTTCGACCAACTTCGTGACCTGGGGGTGCTGACCTGACCTTGACCTGAGGTCAAAACCCCAAGTTGACCTGACCCGGACAAAAGGTATATCATTCGACGCGCCTGAGCGAGGCGAACACAATGCTGCCAAAATCGGCGCTCTGCGGCCGTTTTTTGCGAAGTTATTCACCAAAAACTGAACCGTACCCTGGGGCACTTGACCTGACCTCAGAGGTCACCGGTTGACCTAGGACCTTAAAATCGGGTACCAATCTCTGCGTCTCGTAACGGCGCACACGCTCGTTTTTTCCGCGACGCGCTAGCTCCACCAGGGGCGAAACGGCGAGGGGGGGTCGTACCCGCCCCCCCCCCCCTCGGCCGGCGCGTATGTAGAAAACCAATAGGTCCGGCGAGGGTTAAATCACGCTACGTGGACTTTACTGCTGTAGAATAGCAACGCGTATTTTTAGTCAAACAAATTACACTTTCAGCCGGCACAACGGCCTGGTCCCTATCAGGAATGATTTACCTAGCATTTTTTATTTATTATATCACACAATTATAACTTCCAGTGTGCACCAATCGTCCTCAAGCTCTTAAAACGCGTGTCAGCTTTGATGAATTTTGGATAAAGTTTGAGATAAATTGGCAAAACATCAATGTCGGCATTCCTCGTAGATCATTTATCCCATTTTCGGCTTTCCCCGCAGTCCGGGGCAACGCCGAAAAAGTCAGTTCTTTGATATTTTTAGTTTTTTGCGCTTAACGGTATGCGAATTCATCAAATGCGCCTGGTATGTTTGAAAGACAAAAGACTGGCCTCTCGAATGACGCCAACAAGAATAGCTTATATTGTCTACCTTGCGTGCTACGGGCGTCAGAAAAAAAGTATTCGGCGTTCCCCCAACTTCCCCTAGGTGCCGTAGAGAGTATCAACATTACCAATATGTTAGATAGTTTTAAATGCTTTTTCGCGAATTGTGCACTTCTGGCACCAGTTTTAAAAAGAAAATGAAAAATAATAATGTCAAAATGAAAAACAACGATATCTTCATATTTCACGAAGGTGGCCCTTTTCCTTTAACGGTCATGAAGTACTTCAATATCATTAATTTCTGAAATAACTTCTGATAAAATGTTTTTAGGAATATCAAAAGTCAAATACCTAGTTACATTTTTTTACGAGCGAGCGAGCGCAGCGAGCGAAGTGAGTCTTTTCAATATCACGGAAAAATATCAGTATGAGCGGCCCGGCCCGGCCCGGCCCGGCCCGGGCCGGGCCGCGAGATACCTAAGAGCTCTCTGGTGGAGACCGCCTCCTCGAGGTGGAGAGTGGAGACGGCGGAGGCTCATCCCGACGCCGTCGCCGAGCTGGTGCCCCCGGCCCGGTGCATCAAAACGGTCTCCAAAAGTGCCCCCTCCGAGGGGTGCTCCTGGCGGCGGCTACCACCACCGGCCGCCGCTGCATCGCTGCGCCAGCCTCTTCTGCACTCTGCTTCTTCCCTTCACCGCTCTGGGGCAGCGTCACGCCCACCAGCAGGCCTGGAGCCGCGCGTCGCGCGGCTCGGCCTGCTGAATGATTAGCGCCCGGGCTGCGCCCCCCGCCGCGACCGACGGCGACGGGGAGGCGCGAACTGGTCGGCCGGGCAACCGCCGCCGTCGAGCCCGCAACCGCCGATACCGCCGTAACCGTGCACGGAGAAGTCTCCTCACCATCATGGTGTGGAACACGGAGGGCCTCCGCCCGAAGATAGCGGAGTTGTCACCCTGGCTTTCGGAAGCACGAGTGGACGTGATCGCGGTCCAAGAGGGTCAGTTCCCCAAGACGGCACCAAGGCTGCCTGGCTTCCAGCCCCCAGTCGTGGCGCGCCGCACAAGAGGCAGAAGAGCTGACGGCCCCGTGAAGGGTGGGGACGTTGCCATATACGTCCGTGATGGTACCCACTTCACGACTCTGAGTGGCCCCTTCAAGCCCAGTGTGGATGACACCACCGAGATATGTGGCGTTCGCCTCATCGGAGCACCCGATCTCGAGCTCATCAACCTGTACCGCCCGCCCATCCGCCCGGATGAGTCGGATGATCGTCAGGACAACTTCGACCCGAGTCAACTACCCTGCGGCGACAACACCATCGTTGCCGGTGACGTCAACGCTCACCACCCGCTGTGGGACGTCAACTGCGACTCTGCTGACGAGGTCGGCGAGAGGATCGCCACCTGGCTGGATGACATCGGCTGGACGACCCTCAACGATGGCCGGCCGACATTCAGCAGCTACCGCTCCGGGAGCCAGACAGCCCCCGATGCGGCGTTCTGCAGTTCAACCCTGTCGCGGCGGATGACATGGAGCGTCGGGCCCGATCTCGGCAGCGACCATCTCCCCAGCGACCATTAATAATCCAAAACGAATGCTCTGGATTAATAATCCAGAGCATTCATCAAAAAAGGCAGCGACAGGAGCAGCCGCCGTTAATCCAATAATCCAAAACGAATGCTCTGGATTAATAATCCAGAGCATTCATCAAAAAAGGCAGCGACAGGAGCAGCCGCCGTTCCCGCCCCCGCCACAGCAGAAGCAGCGGCGACAGAGGCGGCGGCCATCGCCACCACCACCACCGCCACCGCCGCCGCCGCCGCCGCCACAACAGCAGCAGCGGCGTCTGAAACGGCGGCGGCCATCACCACCACCACCACCACCACCACCACCACCACCACCGCCGGCACCGCCGCCACGACCGCCGCCAAAGCTGCCACCCCCACCGCCACAGCAGCAGCCCATTCGGCACTTCCGGCTGCCGGAAATTAACGTTCAAGCGAACAACTATATGGAACTGGTTAACGTGCAGCGAGCGGTTGACGAGGGCCGAGACATTGAGCCCCCTTGTGTACGACACATGAGCGAGGATGAGTTGCGCGACTTTCTACAGACTCCCCTTAACCCATTTATGCCCAGGAATATCGACCATCATGAAAATCGACGAAATCAAAATATGTTATGCTCCTACCAGGGCCTTGTATGGAATCGAAAATAATTTTTGCCTGCAGCAAAAGTTTCTCGAGAAAAACGTAAAAAACATGCGTTGCGAAATCGCAACGAAGGGCACACCGGGCGCCATCAGCGTTGCGAAAACGCAACGACGGGCACATCAGACGGACATAAAGTACACTGAACTGCCGTATATGCTAATATATTTTGACAAAACAACAATCAACTGTTGACAACTATTGCTTGAAAATGCGGAACCCACATCCGTCATGCTCTATAACCCGCCTAAGAGCCTCAGTGAAGAAGCATAACTTCATGATTCGCGAACGGGGAGATGGCAACACGGTCATTATCAACCATTTACGTTGTCCATTGCTGTTCATTTAAAGTTGTGGTCGACACGTATCCAGGGTGATGCTCATGGGTGTAACTTTGTATACTTTCGAGGTCCCATGTGGGACCCCAATGCGAACATTTGGGACCCCAATCG